ATTTTCCTGCAGCTATTCAGTAGCCATGGTGAATGATTTGGTGGTTGATCGATATGAATGGATACCCAGACATAATAAGAAAACACAGAAGTATGGAAAATAAGCAAAATATTTTCTCCAATTTTAGTCAAACTATATAGTTTCAGAGAAACTTTTGCAACATTTTTGTGCATATATACATTATTTTCCTTTGAAATATTACTTCATTTTCCTTTGTGATTTCCTTTAACAAGTTTTTTTGGCCATCTCTGTGGCACCCGCAGGAGCTGTCTTGAGATAAAGGGTGGCCAAGGACTACGGTGAAAGTCTGGGCTGTAGAACACCCAGGTTCAAATTCTGCTGTACCCCAGCCCCAGCTTCCCATGCAACCTTGGAGCAATCATTTAATTTATTTCTGGTTACATTTTCACTAAAGAATTAGCTCTTCTCAGGTTAGCCTGGATTGGCTAGATCAATGGTGATCAAACTTTTTGGCAGGTGTGCTGCCAGTTAAACCTCAGCCCTTTCCTGAGTGATGCTTTGATCTCCACTCCACTCCACTCCCCTGCCCCTTCCCCCAGAGGTGTACTTGATAGAGTTTGCACCCTGGGGTGCCCGAATAGAGGCAGGGGGACTCAATTCTTCAGCCATGTGGAGCAGAGCAGGGGCAGGATGCTGCTGTGAGAGAAGTGCCACCACCAAGACCCAAGTTAACCCTTTCTTAGCCCTGCAACTTCTGCAATTTTATATAGGGAGAAAGTTTTATGCAGGGTGGGGGCATTCAGTAATGGTTGCAGAACCAGTAAAGGTTAAACTGGATCTTGGTGGTGACACCTTCTCTCACCACAGTGCCTTGCCTCCCACTCCACTCCATGTGGCTGGAGGCTCAAGCCCCCCACCTCCACTCTACCACCTCCCTGGAGCTCGCATGTCACACCCTGCAGCTGTCTGTGCCACTTGTGGCATGCGTGCTGTGCGTTGGCCACCCCCGGGCTCTCGCATCAGCAAAATAGTAGTCGAGGTGCCTGGAGTGTTCAGGTTCAGGTATGCCTCTGCAGGGCAAAATGAAGTGTGTGTAGTAACCTGACCTACAGCCTGGCAAGCCAACCAGTTTGAGTTAAGGCATGTGTCTGTAGATGGCATTCAAGTTAGGGGCAACTCTTCAGTTAACTCTGTGGTGAAACCAAACCTTTAGGGTCTTAGATCCTCATTTGCCAGAGGAACAATAACACTTTGCTAATGCACAGCAGTACTGCAAGGATAAATTAGTTAGAGAGTACAAGGTGTCCACTACGGTGAGAGAACCCGTATAAATCTTAGTTAGATGAACAATGCCCCCTAAATGCCTTCTTTTCAAGCTTTGCCTTTATAAATCTTCAGGGTTTGGGAAAAGGGACATCACTGCAATAGCAAGAATGGAAAGTTTACACAAGGGCTGACCAGTTATGACTTTTAGATTTTTGTAAAGGTCTCACCCATGACAGTGCAGGAAGCACAAAAATTGGTCTTTGCTTTCTTCAGGGTTGATGTACAAAGTATTGCCCCAGCACAACAGGTTTGAGGTTAAATCACCATAATCTGATCTTAATTGTTGCAATACATTGTATTTTGGGAATGTCATAAGACCAACAGGAAACTAAAACCACAACAGAAAGCAGCTGCCTGGCAATGAGGTGTAAGTTCATATAGGAAATGCATAGCAAGAGTGCTTTAGGTTTTTTCCATTGCCTGTCATTAAGTTGAAGGCAGGGTAGATTTGCACCTTATAGACTAACCAAAATAGAAATTAATTATATGTATTTAATATATATAACATAAGCATATATAAGACATATATATGCTATATGTGTGTGTGTGTGTGTGTGTGCGTGTGTATATATATAGCATAGTGCGCACATGTACACACACACACACACGTATATTAGGGGTGTGCGAAACAAACCATATTTGGTTCAGATTCAGATTCGGCCCAAATTGGAGGACAGTGTTTCGATTCATTGATTTGGATCACTGTCTCCGATTCGATTCGGCTGAATCCGAATCTGAAGATTCGATGCTAATTCAGAGAATCAGCGATTCAGCCACAGACACAGGGTGAAATGTTTTTTCTACATACCTCAAGGTACCAGACATGGCTCATGAATGCTGCAATGCTGTGGCAGATGGAGCATCCCACAGGAGCCCGGGCCAGGGGTGGTCCCTGCGTGCTCAGCAGCAGACCCAGCAATAGACCAGAAGTATTTCCAGTCCACTTCTGAATCCGCCACCAAGCGCATAGGGGAACCCCGTCCCCCTGCACCACCCCAGCTCAGCGATTGGCCACAGGGGGACCCTGGGTGCCCCCCAGACCCAAGAGGCACCAGTTGCCAAGCCAGGGGGCGGGGGAAGTGCTTCCAGCCCACTTCTGGGTCCACCGCCGAATGTGCTGGGGACCCTCCCATGCTCCTCTAGGATGCTCCATCCACCCCACCATCTCAGCACGAGCCGCCTGGTACCTTGAGGTATGTAGAAACGACATTTAAAGCTGTGTATGTCCAAACCATCGAATCTTTCTGATTCTCTCCAAATTTCATTTCGGAGAAATTAAACGGTCTCCTGATTCTATTTGCATTCAGAGATTTGGCCGCCGAACTGGGCTGAACCTCCACCAAATCGAATCAGCGACCAAAGTTCTGCACAGCTCTAATATATACTGCATAGCATAAGCTTTCATGGGTTAAAGTTCCTTTCATCAGATGCTGTGAAAGGATGTGCAGGATGCAGAGTACAAGAATGGGAGAGGAATCAGAATACAAAAGACAAGGGAATGCCTGTGTGGGGAGTGGGGGCAGTGCTGGAAGAGACAAGCAAACCCATAAGAACAGAGGAGTAAGCAAAGTTAACCCAGGTAATGGGATAAGAGTCCACCATCCCTGTTTGAACCATATTTTACACATTTTAGTCTGTGGATAATTTCTTACTTCACAGTTTTCCTCTCAAAATGATTTGTAAAAGTTTGCTGCCTAAGAAGAGCCACCTACAGGTCAGTGATGAGTGCCCAGAGAGCTTGAAGTGTTCTCCCACAAGTTCGTGTGTCTTTCTGCAGCTGATATCAGATCAGTCTTCATTTATTCTGTCACATAGCAGACAGCAGAGGTGCGCTGTAAGCAGGTGATGGCATAATATGACATAAGTGGAGTTGCAAGTGAATGACCCTTGGATGTTATAATCTGTGTTATTCAGTCCAATGATGATGTGGTCTGTATTAATGTGGGGTACAGAAGGCATTTGGGTGTGTTACAAGGCCTGATACCTTGGAGAGACTGGGAGTTAGGTAGCCTGTGCTTTAGAAATGCCATTTGAGGTTGGAGGCTGCCTGTAAGCCAAGTTGCCAGGTAAAGATAAAGCATTCCTGTAAAAGCCTCAGTAGTTCAGAACCTGAGTTTTTGAGAAATGGTGTCTCTCCCCCTGACAAAGTACTATAGCAGAGCTGAGTAGACGCTCTTACACTGCAACACATATAAGCAGGAAGAACCTGCTTTGGATCTTGCCCTCAGATCCTATAGAGCATGGAGGAAAACTGCAAGATTCACCCTCCCTCCTAGGGATTTGAAGAGAAGCAAAGTTGAAGTTTGGTGGGAGTGAGGGGGATGGTATCCTCTTACTATGTCTGCTGTTGGCCATCTCTATGCTCATTTGTCAGAGGGCAGTTGACTGGGATATTCATTTTGGGAGATACATTTTACTAGTGCTCCCTTAAGCGTGGAATAGGCACAAATGTGTGAAGGAAGCAAAGTGAGGGCCAAACAAAGATCTGACACACAGATTGAACCATGCCCTTACAGTGAGGGAAAGTAGCCCCATCCTCCCAGAGCTATACCCAGCACTGGAATAGCACAAGGGAAGGAGCCTAGGAATGCATGAAAGGCTGGTTCTGCCTTGTGGTATAGAGAGACACAATGGTACAATCTGCCTCGCACCCAGCATAAATTACTGTAGCTTTAGGACTGCAGTAATGTACAGCTGGTTGTAGTGGCCCTTTCTGAGGATATGTCTACACAGTGCAAGGCAGTGCCATGACAAGCCCCACAAAGCTATCTCTTGCTCCTGACCTGAAGAGGTGTGTTCTCACTATCCTGTTTCTGAGCAAATTTAATTAGCCCAGGTGAAGCACCACGTGAACATGACTAAAATGCTTCTAATTCAGATGGCAGCTCACAGAGCTAGATCAGGAAACTCTGCACAGTGCTCTGGTCCATACCCAAAGGGACCCCAGGCTGTGCTGCAAGGGGGACAACCATAGATTCAGTTCAGTGTTCCCTATTCTCCAAGGAAATCTCTACATTTGGGGTATTCCTTTGTGAAGAGAGCTACTGTTTATGGGTCCTTTGCACTGCTGACTCCAGGTAGATGCAGAATCGGGCCCCATCTCTTAAAGAAAGGATGAGACCTACTGGCAAGACCAAGCAATTCTTGTCTGAGAAAACTCTAAAATGTGGGCAGACCCTCGTGTCCAGTGTCAGCCTTCCAGCATCTTCCTTACTAAGTTAAAAATAAAAGAGAGAAGCTCCTAGGGACACACACGTAGGCAAAGAGACTCTACTAATTCTCAGCTTTGTTTGTAGCAGCTGGGATTCTGCTAATGGGCTGAGGTGAGCCCACCTTAGTCTATAATGGTGGGCTCTTTTCTGAATCATTACCATGTTGGTTCATGCTATCAGACAAGGAGAGACAGAAATAGAGGCATGAAGTAAATGGGCCCTTTTCTTCTGTTGTCCCTCTTAAAATAATATCAGTAACAAAGGAAGTTTCACTGATTTGCACAAAGTTATTTTTTTCAGTATCGGGAATAAGGTTTCAGAATTACCCTCCCTCCCCCCGTCTTGCCTGAATCATGCACACATTCAGACTGAAAAAAATGGACACACAAGAATTTGCAAAGGAAAATAAGACACTAGGCAGAGCAAGCTTCCAGAATTTCCTACCTCTATTTTAACAAGACAAAGAATATGCTCAAAGCATGGTTCTAATACACCAGGTCAATGACATTCATCTCTATTGTTTATTTCAGAATAAAACAAATGGCTACATGGAGTCCACCACCCCTGTCCTCAAATGAAACCAGCAGCCCGAGCAATTCAACCCTCTGCCCAGATCTGAAGGAATGGTGGGATGTGGTATACCAAGTTATGCCGACATACATCAATATAGTTTGTATTATAGGTACATTGGGAAATATATTTGTTTTCTCTGTTTTTTTACTATACAAGGGCCGCTTGAATGTGGCTGAAATCTACTTTGTGAATCTAGCAGCTGCTGACCTGATTTTCCTTGCATGCTTCCCTTTCTGGGCTGAGAACATCAGGAATGAATATAACTGGCCTTTCACGAACTTCCTTTGTCGTATCACCAATGCATCTATCAAGCTAAACATGTACACGAGCATCTACTTGCTAGTGGCCATCAGTGTGGACCGCTACTTAGCTTTTGCTCACACTCTGACCAGCCGAGGAAAACGAAGCAATGCACAGGCCAAAGTGATGTGCCTGCTCATTTGGGGATTTGGAATTGTTATGAGCATCCCAACATTTATGTTTCGCTCTGTGAAACATGTGCAGAACTTGAATATCTCAGCTTGCATCCTAGCCTTCCCTAGTGAATCATGGGAGACAGCCGATCGCCTGACATTAAATGCCCTGGGATTTGTAATACCATCAATAGCAATCATAGTATTTAATTGCCAGATAGTTCGTTCTCTACGAGAAAACAAGCGAAGTCAAGCAAAACTCAAAACAAAGATATCAAAGGACCACACAAACACAAAAGCCACCATGTTGATCTTCACAGTGGTGCTGACATTTCTTCTCTGCTGGGCTCCCTGCCATTTTTTCCTGTTCCTTGATTTCTTATTCAGAATGAAAGCTGTGAAAGGCTGTTTCTGGGAAGAGCTGATCAATTTTGGGAGCCAATTTACTTCTTACCTTGCTTTTACCAACAGTTGTCTTAACCCTGTGATTTATGTATTTTTTGGGAAATACTTCAGGGAGAAGACTTTCAAAGTTTATACACAGTTTTTTCCCAGTGGATATCCTTTACAATGCATGGCACCAAGAGAGAGATCCTCATATTTTACTTCTGGCTTGAAACAAGTTATTTTAACATAAGGACCTTCCGTTCCTGTTGGATTGTGGTATCACCACTGATTTCAAAGACAATAAGGAAGATTCACATGAAGAATATTGGATTAGTTTTGCCTGTAATTGTAGAATGCATATTTATTAAAGTAAATCAACTTGGCTACTTATTTGTCCCAGAGTTTGTTTTGCAGTTGATATGCATTGCATTCAAATGCATAAAGCTACATTTTCACCACAGGGGTAATTGACACAGATTCAGACTAAAGGAAATCCTGCATGAAAGCAGATATCAGAAAGATGCCTTCTTAAAATCATCTCTGGCCAGGGTATATTCTTCAAGAAAGGGAGGAAAGTGGATCCTGCAAACTACAGGCCCATCAGCCAGACCTCTATCCCGGGGAAGATCTTAAAAAAGATTATCAAAGAGACCATTCTCAACAGACTGGCCGACGGCAACATCCTGAGGGATAGCCAGCACGGGTTTGTTGCGGGTAGGTCATGCTTGACCAATCTTATCTCCTTTTATGACCAGGTGACCTATCACCTGGACAAGGGAGAAGAGATTGATGTCATATATCTTGACTTCAGAAAAGCCTTAGATCTGGTATCCCATGATCACCTCTTGGCAAAACTGGCCAACTACGGCCTTGGGCCCACCACGATCCGCTGGCTGGGGAATTGGCTCCGTGGTCAGACCCAGAGGGTGGTGGTTGACAGAAGTCAATCATCATGGTGCTCTGTGACCAGTGGGGTCCCCCAAGGCTCTGTCCTTGGACCTATATTGTTCAACATCTTCATTAATGATGTGGACATTGGTATCAGAAGCAGACTGGCCAAGTTCACCGATGATACCAAACTCTGCAGTAAAGCATCCACACCTGAGGACAGGAGGGTGATCCAGGCTGACCTTGACAGGCTCAAGAAATGGGTGGATGAGTACCTGATGGTGTTTAACACCAAAAAATGAAAGGTTCTTCACCTTGGTAGGAAAAACCTGCAGTGTCCTTATAGGCTCGGAAGTGCTACACTGGTTAGCACTACGGATGAAAGGGATTTGGGGGTCATGATTGACCACAAGATGAATATGAGCCTTCAATGTGATGCTGTGGCCAGTAAAGTGAGCAAAATACTGGCTTGCATCCATAGATGCTTCTCAAGCAAATCCCAGGACATCATCTTCCCACTGTACTCAGCCTTGGTGAGGCCGCAGCTGGAGTACTGCATCCAGTTTTGGGCTCCTCAATTCAAAAAGGATGTGAAGATGCTTGAGAGAGTGCAGATGAGAGCCACGTGCATGATCAGAGGTCAGGAAAACAGACCTTACGAAACAGGCTGAGAGCTATGGGACTCTTTAGCCTGGAAAAGCGCAGGCTCAGGGTGATCTGATGGCCACCTATAAGTTTATCAGTGGTGTTCACCTGGATCTGGGAGAACAATTGTTCACCACAGTGTCCCTAGGGATGACAAGGTCGAACAGTTATAAATTCCAGCAAGACCATTTCAGGCTGGACATAAGAAAGAATTTCTTCACTGTCTGAGCCTCCAAGGTCTGGAATAGCCTGCCACCGGAGGTGGTTCAAGCACCTACATTGAATGCCTTCAAGAGAAATTTGGATGCTTATCTTGCTGGGATCATCCTATGACCCCAGCTGACTTCCTGCCCCTTGGGCAGGGGGCTGGACTCGATGATCTTCCGAGGTCCCTTCCAGCCCTAATGTCTATGAAATCTATTAAATCTATATAGTCAGCAATGTGGACGAAAGCCTCTAAATTCTATAGATTGTTCATGGGAAGACAAAATTAATAGAATTTTAAGCCTATCATGAGCTAAGGATCAAAGGCAATCTGGGATGTTCCAAGAGTTGATAAGGAGTTCAAAAAGTTATCACACAGAACACTTGAAATGCAGCTGTGTTATAATACAGGTAAAAAAAAAAAACTTGATGGCACTTACAGAAAGAGGCCATAGCAAAGTGTCATTGTCTTAGTAATACTTTTGGCAATACCAAAAGTTATAACATGTTTAATACAAATATTCCCATGTAAATCTGTTATAAATAAGCTCAATTTGCATCCCTGGAGCTACATGGATATATACCATCTAAAGGGCTAACACTGTGACTGTGTCAGCATGCTAAAAGACACCTCATTTAAACAAGGATTCTTTTGGTTTTCTCCATACAACTTTTACCTGGAAAAGGACTGTACCTGTTTTACTGTACATTTTAATATATTGTAAAGGCACCAAGAGCCCTCAGTATGCACTTACAAAGCAAAGTGAAAAAAACCCAACATATTTCTATCTCATGGTTGCCTTGCACTCCCTGTTTATTGAACCTGCTGCCCCTTACTCTTTACCAAGAAACTAAGAACCTCCCTTCCCCACAGCCTGTATTTATACAGCACCTTACATATTGGGACCTTATCTGTGACTGGAATACTGTACTTAGCTATTTTACAAATATAAATATTAAGATCTCCTATAAGGGTGGACAGAATAACAACCTTTTCCTTTCTTTCCCTGTATCTAGAGTGGACCAGAAGGAAGTCAGCCCAGAGAAACCCAACCTGCTCTTTCCTTGGTAAAATAGATCTGCTGGCATACCCCTACTGTCTTGGTCTAATGTCTGTATTTACTCTGATCTTAATAAAATTTCCTACAGACACTTTTGAGCAAGGAAAACCTGTTGGAAAAGGTTGGAAGAGGCTACACATAACAAAAAACTACTGCCTTACCAGACTGGGTTAAGAGATCATGAAATGCTCATTTTGTGTTGTGTTTTTTAGATAAGTTTGTGAATTAATCTATGCCAAATGAACTTTTATTCCAGTGAGTCATCAGAGAGTAAAAATATGCTTATGGTCCACCCAAAACATAATGCACAATGTGTTTGGTTAAAAATAAAAAGGGACGATTATGCATTTAGAACCATAGAAGGAGACTGAAACTGAAAAAAATTGCGGAGATATGTGCTTGGGGACCTTAAAAGGCAAGCAAATTATGTCCTTTCTGCCTGACCTACTGTTGCACATATGAATGCACATACACAACTTAGGGGATAGTTTTATTTATTTAAACACAAACAGTGATTAATTTTGGGCATAATCTCCAATAACCTCAGTAAGCATGTGTTAAAGGCTTTAATGAATGCTTCAATTATGCTTCAGATGTCTACAGCTATCATATACTGGGTGCATCTACACATGATGCTACATCGCCATGGCAATGTGCTATGACAATGTAGCATTGGTGGTCACAAGCCATGATGCCAGGTACATCACCGTAGCAATGTGCTTCCTCATTATAGTGCATTGCTGTGACATAGCAGCTAAAAAGTTATCCAATATCCAGCAGCTAAAAAGTTATCCAATTTGCTAATATCCAAATAAGCATTAAATGTGAAGAAAAGGTAAACTGAAAGTGTGCACAGAGAGGTAGCCACAATTGTGCCAGCAGGGAAAGAATTCTTTGTTTGAAGATTGTATGTGAAAAGGAACTGAGGAAGAAAGAAGCACACAGGGGTGGGCTTTATACTACGTAAGCTGAATAGAAATCTTAAATCCTAAAATACCACATTCTTTTGGGCAGGACTGCTATAAACCTATAGTGTCTATTCTAGTAGTGGCCATGTTACCTCACATTCTCCCAAACTCATAACACAAGCCACCTAAACTCTTACCCCTATCTGTCACAACTCATCCCTCAGTATTGAAATGTGAGCTCCCATCTCCAAGTCACCAATATTGCCATTCTTCCATTTGTTACATCTTCAAACAGATGTGCTTTGTGTTTATTGTGCTGCTACTCATCACACTTGGGAGGAGCTCCACAGAAACAGCTGCAAAACATCCCCCTTAAGGTCCCCTTTTCCATGATACCTACTAACACCTCCCTCCCCTCAAAAACCAACTTGATAGCATGTGGGCAACTGGTGTACCAATAATATTGTCTATCACTGTTTCACTGTATTCCTCTCCATCCTTCCATATCAACCTGTTGTGTCTTGTCTTATACATCACTTGTAAGAGCTCAGGGGCAAGTGCTGCCCTTTTTTCCTGTGTTCACCACATCCATGAATAGGGTTTCCAGGCACTACTACTACTACTACTACTACTACTACTAATCATAATATAAAAGCCTTGGTCTGTCTGGCCGTAACACTTTATTCTCATTCTGATTAGTTGTCCAAGAGCATTCTGGACAGGAGGCAGTGGTGGCAGCGTGCTACCATGATGGCAGGGACAGAGTGGCTGGAGTGGGAGAGTAAGGCCAGCGCTGCTGGCCTTGCCCCCTCTCCCCCTCTGCTCTCTGCAGGTAGCGGTGGCATGGGGTACTGGCCAAAGGGAACGGAGGGGACAGCAGGGCAATTCGCAAATTCCTGATGGGCAATTGGCTAGTAATAATAACAATAATACACTTACCAGTAGAATTAATTTAAACAATTAGGATGCATACCTATAAAACAGAATTATAGGGAGGGCTGGTGGCCTGATATTTGCCATTATAAAACCAGGGTCATAACTGCTTATAACTAAACATGAATTGTTCAGACTGCCATTGTCCATGCCAAGTGTCTACTTCACCTCTTTCCTTCCACCTCGCCTAGCAACTTCTCAGAATGAGACTCGGGAAAGAAAAAAGTACATATTGTTTTGTTCTTTTAATAAAGTCTTTTGAAAAATTACATCACTGCATCCCTGTAAAAAAAAAAATCCAAATTTAGTCAATTTGCAGGCCTTTTGGTTGGGGTGGGAAGTTTACATAACCTCTATGAAGTATAACAGCTAAAACCTCTGAAGAATCTCACCTAAGTGAGCACACTCAAGTCCCTCCCAGCACCCAGTGTTGACTGGACCATACAAGTTCCCTCTTTACAAGAGTGACTGAGCATGCTGCATTCCCTCACGACTCGTCACGGATGACTGAACACATTCCCCCTGGCTACAGAGGCAAAACCAGATTTTTCTTGTAATTAATGTTCTAGATTGGAGCAGAGCCAGGTACTCAATTCAAAGCAGTGAGCACA